GCCCCATAGGTCCACATTTGCCTACACGCTGCCTTCAAAAGGCCTATATGTGTACATCTAGTCCTGATGATACTCATGCGAACCGACAGATATACGATGAATAGGTGAAAATGGCAAATGCAGCGACTCCAACTTATAACAAAACTTTTCCCCATGAGGGTGTCACTTAGCTATCACAGGACCTTCTTCCTGACTTTCGCCTCCTGCGGAGAGGCTCACTTGGAGGTGAACATTCGACGTGGAATCACCCTGAATTCACTTGTCTGAACTTGGCCAGCCTGAGCAAACCAAAACGTTCGCGACCAAAGGACCCTCCCTCTTGCCTGCTGCTCCTTATCAAGGAAAAATGTGTGGGATAGGGCCATTCCGCGAGGCATAGTGGTACGGCCGCACTGCTTGCTTGAAAAAATGAAAAAAGTGCGTCTTGTACTTGTGGAATCAGGGTACTTCATGGTCATAAATGCCTAATACTGGTGATCCTGTGCGAGAAAGATGCTCTCGTCAGCAGAAGCGCTAAGCAACGCGTCGCGCGAAGCCAGCTGCCTCTGAGCCCCTACCGATAATATTTTGGAACGTTCATCAAGCAAGCTTCCTCAATTTTTGCTCTCACTCTTGTGTTTGTTCTTATTTGATGGTTTTGCTCTCACTAGCGATGGGTGTAGCGTGGGAATAAAGCACCAGAATCTGGTAATTGGTCCAAATTGTAGTACTTTTCAGAGTTGGCTGTTCAAGATATTTATCTGGAAATGACATGAAGTCGCTAAATGTGTGCTGCGGTGATGTCTGTCGTTTTGCCATTCTTCTTTTTCCATGTTAGTGCAGTTTTGCTCAATTTTTCTATCTTTCCTAATTTATCTTAGTTTAGGCCTATTTTGCACATCACTGGCTGAAGAGATGACAAACTCGAGCGTTTTTGACGCCTATGAGGCTGCTGCTTCTCCACTGCTGTTGAATGATAACATATCAAATACTGTGTCTCCGTTGGTAGTTGAGAGAATCGCACGAGGAAAGACGATCCTGCAAAAGTTGAAAACACATATATTTGGTAAGTACTTTGTGTAGTGCTTTTCTTTTTTACTACCTTTACCATCATTCCATAGGCCCTGATGAAGAAGTGCACGAGTCAGATTTGATCTGCAATTGTAATGGTGCTTTATGCGACAACGAATTGGTTCATCTCCTTGGAGAATCGTACAAGGTGATCTTTCTGTAAACTCTCTATCCACTACTCAGTTCTTTGACATACAGGGTAAATGCAGAGCCAAGCGTGGTCGCTGTTTCAAGGTTTACGATGAGGAGCATGATAACCATATGTCTATGGGGTAAGTGTATGCCAGTCAATGAAATGTATTTTTTCTTGTTGATTTAGAGGCAGCGTCCTCTCAAACGGTGGGTACTCGAATTTTACCACCCTGTGATGGCGGACCCCCAACTAATCTATCAGTGAAGTTTG